CAAAAAAAAAAAGGAAAACATTTGGATTTATTAAATTTGTCCTACCAGTTTTGTTCCATTATGATAATTTAGTGAAAATACTGAAACAACATGTTTCCTGGTTTCCATCACGATTGGGAAGACTGAAGGAGATGGAGAAGTCAAAACTGGAAATGTCTACCCCCCCACCTGTGTCCCCCCTTCTCTCTCTCTCTCTCTCTCTCTTCCCCTCCCTCTTTCTCTCTCTCCCTCTCTCCCTCCCTCTCTCTCTCTCCCTCTGTCACTTCTCCCCATCACCCCGTGCGCACCCGGGGCCCCCCCCCCCCCCCCCCCCCCCCCCCCCCTTGCCTGTACTGGGACTTGAACTCCTTAGATTTTACAATCGAGGCTGTTACTTGATCACTTAAGCCATAGCTCCCCAGCTCCACTTCTGGCTTTTTGGTGGTTAATTAGAGACAAGAGTCTCATGGACTTTTTCTGCCTGGGCTGGCTTAGAACTGAGTAGCTAGGATTGTAAACATGAAACATGACCAACCAGTGTCCAGTTTGGAAAATTTGAAGACTACTTTCCCCACATTAACTTTTTGAGGAGCTTACCTTATATTTCTCTTCATTATGCTTTTAGATAGTTCTATACTTGCGCATGTGCTTGGCTCATAGTGCAGGAGTGGTTCCCACCTCTCAGAGTTTGGCTGATATGCAAGATCATGCTCCAGCCATTGGACGCTATATACGAACTTTAATGTCAAGCAGCCAGGTGACACCCTCATCATCTAATAAGAGTGGAGAAACCAATCCTGTTCAGATCTACATTGGCCTGCTCCAGCAGTTATTAGCAGGTGTTGGAGGTAAGAAGTTATGGTGCTAACGAATGATACTGAAACACTGAAGCAACAATTTAGTTTCTAAATTTATTTGACTCTCTAATTGTCTTTTAATTATTAAAAAAAATGTGTGACAGGGTCTCATCTTGTAGCCCAGGATGGCCTAGAACTCACTAATAGGCTGGCCTTGAATTCATGATCCTCCTGTCGTAGCCTCCTGAGTATTGTAATTACAGAGGCCTGCTACCAGGCCTCGTCTTGGATACCTTAATAATAAGATAAGTTAACAGCAGGTGAACATTTATTATGTTCACACATTTATAGATGTTTACAGAGCTATCTTTTGATAGATAACTACAAAGTTGTATTAATTAACATCTTATGTTTATCGTTTGTTTTTGTAGAACTGAGGGAGTTTGTGCTTAAGCAGTAGCTTCACATACTTTAGAAGAATTTGATGATCCCTGCATATTTATTATTTTTATTGAAGCTGAAAATGGTTCTGAATTTTTATTTAGGTTTGCCAGTCATGTATTGTCTATTGGAAGCGGTGTCAGTATATCCAGAAAAACTGGCTACTAAATTTGTAGACAAAACAGAATGGATAAAGGTATGTTCTTACATGTGTATTCTCTTTAAATCTGGATATTTCAAACTTGTTCTATATGATTTCTTCTTCTTGGCATTGTCACTATGACCTTTTCTGTCTTTAGGTCATTTTGAAAATTCTCTCTAATCAAATAGGAAAACATGTAGGTCAGTATATCTCATTGACTTATCTTGGTGAGGATAAAAGATGACTTTAATTTTTATGAGAAAAAAGAATTCATTTTCTGATTCAGTGTTTAAAAAAATTTTTTTTTAGTAAGAATAGATTTGTATAGTTAAAAAATAAGATGTTCTCTTCTGATAAATGTTTCCTAGCTATAAATCTCTCCAGTGTTCTACCCTCACCTATATTTGTAGGATAAACTTCTTGAGTTTTTTTTTTTTTTTTTGGGTCCGGTCGTGGGGCCTGAACTCTGGGCCTGGGCGCTGTCCCTCAGCTCTTCAGCTCAAGACTAGCGCTCTACCACTTTAAGC